GAGGATTATTTTATTATTTTTGTTTTTTATTATTTTGGTTGTTTGTATTGGGAGGTGGTTAAGGTTACGGGTTGGTTGTTAAGGTTACGGGGTGGTTGTTAAGGTTACGGGTCGGTTGTTAAGGTTAAGGGTTGGTTGTTAAGGTTACGGGTCGATTGTTAAGGTTACAGGTTGGTTGTGAACCTCGGTAACCTCCGTAACCTTAACTGATCTGTAACTTTAACAACCAACACGTAACCTTAACAACCGACCCGTAATTTTAACAATTGACCCGTAACCTTGACAACCGACCCGTAATCTTAACAACCAACCATTAACCTTAACAATCGACCCGTAACTTTAACAACCAACCCTTAACCTTTATAACTAACCTGCAACCTTAACAACCAACGCGTAACATTCATAACGCATAACCTTAACAACCGACCCTAACCTTAACAACCGACTCGTTATCGATTTCCTTACAAGTATTCCGCTAATGAACGAACGTCGTTTTCTTCCCGACGGTGAAACTTTCCCGCTATTTCCTTACAAATATTCCGCTGAAAAATACAAGTTTTCCCATGACTTTTCTTCGCCTCATGAACATATGTCGGAAAAGTATTGCTGGTGATGTTGACGCCATCGGAAAATTTTGGAGGGAACTAGAAGTTTTTCCCCCCAAAGCCTATTTTAAATCATCACAGTAACATCATGAAAAAAAAGAGAAAGAAATGGTATTATGGTCTTCACATATTTTAAACTCTTGGGTTTTTTGTTTTGGGGGCTCAGGGAATTATGACTTTATTTTTGAGGGTTTTGGAAGCGTTGAAAAGTATTGGGGGTGGACGGAATACTTGTAAGGAGATTGGGGGCTAGAAGTAATTTTCCCTAAAAATTAATGATAAATTACATAAATTTTTTGATAAATAACTGACTAGAAATTGAAATTTAGGAGATATATCACAACATTTTAGAATGATCTTTTGTAATTTATATATTATGTATGAAAAATAATTTAATAGCTAAGCTATTTGTTAATTCAAAGGGAAACATTTTAATCCTTGTAGGCCCCTTTTTGTTGCAAATAAATAGGATTATGACCATTTTCTTTATAAATAGCAGGAGTCAACTATTACATCATCTAAATAAATAGTTTTGTAAACTCATCGATTTTGAGGAGTTAGCTCATTTTAACCCATATTGAGGGATCTTATAAGCCTTTTGCTATCGTTTGTGTTTGGAAAAAAATACAAGGGGTTACTTAGTTAACATCTTTGGATTTTTTTTTTTTTTTTGTGTTTGGCATGCTTAGAAGTGGTTAATAAATCTTCTTAAATTTTCACTTATCCCTCTTTCAAAAGGGGACTTTTAGCTCTTTTTTATTTCCATTTTTTTCCTAATAACTCAGTGTGGATCAGATCCAAGATCTCCGAGGGGTGGGTTTATATCCAAATATATTTATTAAACTGTTACATTGTAGTTGGGTAAATTGCAATTAAATAAGATATAGTTTCTCACTTGTTGCATCTAAATACCACATGTTGTATTTAGGTATAAAAAATACTATAAGATTTCCAAATTTGCACGTTACTACCATCGATCATATAAACATGAAAATTTTCGCCTTAATGTTTCTCTATAATATTTTCATGCTAATTTTAGAGTTTTTTAACTAACAACACTTATTCAATTTGATGTTAAATCAACCAAAAATTTTCCCCCAAACCTGTATCAATTCAACTTTAAAGGAGAGTCAGGATATTTCTAATTGAAAATTTCAACAAATATTAATGTTTAGGAAGCTCTAAAAAATCAGCGTGTAGTATCACATATGAGCGTCGGGGGTGAAAATTACTACGTTTGCATGATCGATGGTAGTAACATGTAAATTTTGAAAACTACTTGTATTTTTCCTTCATAACAAAATCCAACTTGTGGTATTTAACCGTAACAGGTGGGAAGCTATTTGGTACCTATGTGCAATTTACTCCGCTGTAGTTTTCACATACCCGATGATCACGGGCGGTTATTGGCCCAGACCCGAGACCAGCAGACGACCCCCCCACCATAAAAACTTTCGACGACCGACCGCTGACTCGGACCGACCACCGTTCAAAGGCGACGTCTCCACGCAATCCAAGAAACCAGTTCCCAAACTTTCAGAGCACGACATTCTCGTTTTAACCGACTTTTTATACGCGAGAAGCGTAACCGAATTCAATCCTGCTCCTTTCGACGTCGACTCCGATCTAAAAGAGGCAAATTTCTAGGGTTTCAGATCTCGATCAGATCCCGAGGGAAAGGATGCTCTCGTTGAAGGACAAGGTCGCCGACAAGCTCTCTCGTCTCCTCGGCGACTCGCCGCCGCCGCCGCCGTCGTCTTCTTCTCCGTCTCAGCATTCTCCACCCACCGCTCGATCCGAGCCTGATCGGGTAACGGCCCCTTCTCTCGGCCTTTGATCTGATCTAGTTATTTTATTTTATTAATTTTTGTGTGTGCTGCATTGCGTTTTGTTAGGGTTTGGTTGCTCAAGTTTTCGTTTCGTTTAGATCTGTGATCGAGGGGTTGAGATCTGCAGTCAGAACCGTTCAGATTTTGATCTGTTTAGCAGGTTTTGAAGTGTGCGTCTGAGCTGTGAATTTCTAGGATTTTCAGCGAATTATTCGTAGATTTTTAGCTGGAAGAGGCAAATGTGGATGTCCTTTTTGTTCAAAAGCTTGCATATTTTTTTATTTGGGAGGAAAAATTTGTTTGTTCCCTTGGGTTTTCAAGATCCTGCGTTTAGATCCCTAGATCTGCGACGAGAATAGTCGCACATAGTCCCATCGACTATATTTCAGAAATCCTAAATTATACATTTGGCATTTGATTTATTTATAAACGCAGTCTGGTAACTTGATCGCGAAGAGACCTCCATCGGGGAGCATTGCAACTTCTCTTTCATAACATTGGATTATGGCATGCGTCCAGAACTCCGACAATCTCCGAACTTTAGACATTTATTTACCCACATCTCACCTAAAAGTTTGCCAGAAATGTTCGTGTTCTATATTTGGAGATATGGCTCAAGAGCCAGCAGTAGAAATGCCCATGCTTACGATATTTTCATGTCATATTTATAAAGTCAATGTTCACAGTAGTAGTATTCGACGTGTGCAGGGAGGATCTGTTTCTATGGAAGGATTGTCTCCTAGCAGGACATCAGTTATTTCTTCATTTTTCCTGTCCTTTCTCCCCAAGATATATTCTAGCACCGACGGACCAACTAAACCTACAAGAACATTACCATGTAGATCTCTTCCTAGAAGATGGAAAATAAATAGCTTCTCATTGAAAGATAAGCCATTGGATTGTAGTACTGACAGCAGGACTGATACAGAGAGTGATAGCGCGGACGAGAATTATAAAGAAAAACTAGGTGATGCGCCACAAGGGAACTGCAATGGTTTTCAGAAAGTTGAAAAGGATTCGAAAGCCCATGACTCTGGAGATTTTCTATCCTGTCTCAGTGAAAAGTCCGCCTTTATTTCCGAGGACTTGTTTGAGTTCTTGCAGTCATCTCTCCCTAGTATTGTTAAAGGATGCAAATGGGTATTGTTATACAGGTAATATGTTATATAGGTTGCTACTTTTAATTGTTTTAATTTTTAATGTGCCTGTTATTTTTCTGATTTATTTTCATTCTCATGAAATGAAGGGCAGTACTTTGAAACACGGGATATCTCTGCAAACACTTCTTCGTAAGAGTGCCGATCTTTCCGGTCCGTGCTTATTAGTAAGTGTCAGAAAGTGTATTGGTGTTTTCTCTTTAAAAGTAAACTGCAGGTTGGAGAAATCTATTGATATCTGATAATTGATAAAGGTAATGAACAGTTTTTTCTTGTCAGATTGCTGGGGACATGCAGGGTGCTATCTTTGGTGGTCTGCTGGATGGTCCCCTAAAGACCACGCCCAAAAGAAAATATCAAGTAAGTCGAACACTTTCAACATGGTAATTTATTATTTTATTTTCTTCACTAGTGCTATATTTGCTTTCAATAGTTTTTATTGTCAGGATCATGACTCTGATCACATCTGTTTTATGTGGACAGGGTTCTAACAAAACATTTGTGTTCACTACAATTTATGGGGAGCCAAGGCTCTTCAGAGCCACTGGTATGGGTTTCAGCAAATAATATATCTTGCTTAGTTTCTATTTTGCAACTTGTACGTGAAGATAATGTACTTTATTTAAATCACCAAGAATTTTTTATTTCAATATCACAGCACATCTTACATTGTCAGATAGCTTGATGAGTATAAGCACTAGGTTTTTTTCAGCCGTTCTCATGCTCATACATGTGAATACGCACATAATTAACTATCAGTAAGAGATTGTTGCTATATTACTATGAAAAAAAAGATTTCAAGAGAAGAAGCATATTTCAGTGACATATTTTATTTATGCATAGAGTAATACACGAGACATTAATTAATTAATGAAGGTAATACATAGACAATTTGCAAAGGAAACACATCTTAGTGACAATACTTGATCTCTCAAAATGATCAGTTAGAAGATCCACACTGGTATTTTGGCATCTTTTAAAAAATCAGCAATTCTGATGTATTACATGTGGCAATAAATAAAATAAGCTGGGATACTTCGAATCTTGTTTTCACTTTTCCGAATTCAGGAAGCTTTCCGAAATTTTAATAAAAAATTAGTCGCAAAAGTTTGGACAGTTTTCTGAAGCAACTGATACAGTTGTACTGATACGTTCCTGATACCTAGCAATCAAGCAGATTTTTGATTCTTTGAACTTCAAGAGACTTTTACGGTTTTACCATACTCACAGAAACTCACCACTCCAAATCAACAAGTTGCTGAGCTGCAAGTGTAATATTTGGCCACGAACTGATATAATTCCCTGGTCAGCTCCATTGAAAGACCAGTTTCTTGCATCAACCGGTGTTCTTTCTTTACCAATGCTCTCTGTCTCTGCTTTTCATTTCTATCCTACATTCCTACTACATAGCTGATTAACTTGCTGCTAAATTATCCCAGAAAGTCCTGACTGTAGAATGCAAAGTGTTTTAACTCTTGATTTCTCTCTATTTTTTCATGTACTTGCCTATTACTTTTAACTCCTACCTGCCTTTCTCCTTTTCTTTGTTGATCTCCTTTTTTTACTCTTTTTTTGTGAACTCCTTTTCTGCTTTCTCCCTCGTCTCTTCTCCTTTTTATTTTGTTCCCCCAGTTTCTTGTTTACACTTTATTTTATCATCTCTTCCTTCTTGCTTTCGTTTACCTTGTCTTACCCTCTTTAAAAATTTGGTTTCCTCTTTTCGTCTTTTCTTTATGCACTCTCTTCTCGAGTGTTACCTTCCCTCCTAAGTTCTAACCTTTCTCCCTTCATCTCACTTGTTTATTTCAAGTTTATTCTGTATGAATCTGATTTGTTTAATGTATCTAATTAGATACCACTGTTTATAGCTTCCTGTCAAGATGCAGCCTGGCCACAATACTTTCCTTGGTGCCAAGCCCAAAACATAACTACAAACCTGATAGCACTAGCAGTATTCAGTCAGCAAATCAAAAATCTTGAGCGAATATTTTATTAGATATCATTGGATGTTATCATTCATGAAGGAGTCTGCTTGAGTGACTGATGTCCTGTTATGTACAAGTTTTCCAAATGATACACAACATATCAATAGTACTTAGATGCTATCATAGTATCAGTTCATGCTATAATCAATGTACATGTCTATCACTGTCGATATTGGATTTTTTTCCCTTAACTGAGATAATTGAATTACTTTCACTTTCATTTAAAATATAATACGCACTGAACACTACATCTCGTGTTTGTTTGTTTATTATTTTTGTTATTGTTGTCGTAGTTATCCTCATTGTTGTCGATAAATTATTATCAACAAACTAACAGTGGGCATTGCATAGGTGCCAATAGGTATTATTACATGTGTGTGAATGATCTATTAGCTTTTGGAGGGGGTGGTAGCTTCGCATTGTGCCTAGAGGAAGATTTGTAAGTATCATTTTCTTTTTAGACAAATTTTGAAGTTTAGTTTCCAAAGCTTCATCTTTACATGTAATGATGTAAATGGATTAGTTCATGATGCTATTCTGGATTTTTGGAGAAGTAAACTACTAACTTCATCTCTGATGCTTTCTCCTTTCTCTTTGTGAAAGATTACATGGAAGCAGTGGGCCAAGTGAAACCTTTGGAAACTTGTGTTTAGCTCATAACCCAGAGTTTGAACTGAAGAACGTTGAGGTAAGTTTAGGATGTATATGAACAATTCTTTTCTGATCATCCATAAAAGACTTTGATGTTTTTATTTTCTTGCCCTTTCTTTTCTTTGATTGACATATAAATCTAGTCAAACTGAAGAAGTTGATATAATATTTTGAAATAAAAATATTAATTTAATTTGTGAGATGAAACATGTAAACAAAAAGTTTCTGTTATTTACTCTTTAACTAGGAGGCACCCTCATTGTCTGATTGGGTAAGCTACATTTTCTAAAGGAAAAATCTCCAACATTTACTCGTATAATTTATTAAATGAGACTGATATCCCTATGTTGCCTACTTGCTTGTATCGTTTTCTTCCCAATTTCCTTTTTGCTTTTCAGGCTTAAATTAAACTACTTATATTTTTGGTTTACTTGTTTGTGCATGTCACTTTGTTTTGATGATACCACGTGTTTTCACTTGAGACTTTCTGGTGTCACTTGAGACTTTCTGGTGTAAATTTTTGTCTTTCATCATGCCGATTCTTAAATGACCTGAGAACTCGAGCTAGGGGCAGATTTATTATTTTTAACCTCAAATTGTCCTTAGCGTCATGACTCTCAAATGCCCAAAGAACTCCATCATGAAATTGTGTGGACTGTGTTTCGATCCGATCATTAGCGTCAAATTATCCATTGCTTAATAATGGTTATTCCTCTATAATTATCTAGCACGTGTTGGGATTCCTGTTTTCTCATTTCGGAATTTGATAGCATCATTAAGCAGTTATTGAAAACCATGGCATTATTGTCAGTTTTGCTTCTCTCGTATGTTGACAATAAGACTAACGCGTTCATCTAAATCTTTCAGGTGTGGTGTTTCACGTATTCCTCACGCTATCTCACCTAAGAGCCGAGATGCCCATTTATTTATTTTTCCTTGTAAAGGGATTCTGGTGTATTCTTTTGGCCTCCCATTTTGTTTATTCATCATATTCGTTAAGGTGAATATCCTGAGCGAGTTTAGTTCACTGGCTGATCCTTGGGATACATTATCAACCTCTAGCCTGCTTAACATCTTATGAAATGAGGTTGAAGTATCGTACTATTTAGTTAATGGGTGAAGTTCACCTCATTATATTTATATATGAGAAATTATGCTAGCCTACATCTCTCTTTGTGAATAATATCAAGCAAGTATATAAAGACGCAAATGAGGATTATCGAGCAAGAGGCGAGCTCATGCTATATTTTCTAAAAGAAGCAGCCAACTGGAGCACAAGTACGAAGCCAAATTGACCCATCAAATGACCAAAGAACTAGAGGTAGGGGCAGATAATTTTATACCGAGCTCCGTCCTGAAATATGTATCAAATCGACCCATCAAATAAGAACTACAAAATTCACTTGCTTTTTCCATCCCGATAGCTAATTCTCCCCTCACTTGTAGAACGGAACTGAAATAACTTCAAATTTTGACCACAAACGAACGCAAGCCCCTCTCAATGGTAAGTTGTCAAAGCTTACAATACAATACAATTATCCAAGGGATGCCCAGCCAAGCTTAAAAAAAAAAAAACCCCATGTTTTGGGACATGGATCGAGAATCGCATCTTCCTCAGAGTTATAGAAGTGTTTTGCGCGGCTCATAATTTAAAGCTTGAGGAGTTACGGAAGCACATTGCGTGGCTCATAATTTAAAGGCTTGACCCCTCAGATCTGCACTGTGAACCGTAATTACCAAAACGGACGGGAGAGCTTAGGCTGGTGCAATGATGAAACTGCGTTGTGGTTCATTTCACAAATATCGAAATCCTCGATTAGTTCATCCTCTGGATTCCTCCATTTCATCCCCTGCCTCTGGAAGGCCGAAGATACGCAGGTTGCGGTCCATAGAACCTACTGCCAAATATTTTGCATCCCCTCCAAACTTTACGGATGTCACTTTTCCTGGAACCAGAAGCAATCTTTTTATGAGATATTGAGGATAATAAGACAAGCGTGACCAGTAATTGAAGGCGAAGATAATTTTGATTTTAGAAATTAGGTAGTTGTGCGTTAACCTGTTCCTGATAAATCTGGGAATGTTTTGAGTAGATTCCATTCAGCCTTCACATTGGCAACTTGGTAAACCCTGAAAACAATTCATCATAACACATACAAACCTGATTACTGACATAGCATAAAGGAGTACGAAACGATGGTTGAACTAACAATTGCACATCAACATTTCAAGAAAATGGAAGGTAATAAACCCAATCCATCATGAAAAAATCATTTGTTCTGACCAACTTGGTCAAGTCTGAACAACAGCCGTCGTGTCAAACTACAGAGAACCAAAACTAAACGAAACGAGAACATCATTCCTCCAGATTTTCCCCGCACGAACCATATTTAACATTTCAAAGGTCTGTCTCCTTATAATTTACAACTTTCCTCCTAGGTATTCATATCTAGAGCTCTTAAAAGATATGAAACGAAGTTGCAGATTTTCAGCATGAGCATCTTTAACTCTTAAAGTTTAATTAAAATCACAACAAGTAAGAAGTTTTATGGCGCGGACGCATCAGAATAAGTAAGTAGTTTTATGGCGCGCCGACAAACCCAATTCCTGATGATTGGGGTTTGTGCCCGCAGTTTAAGTGGAATCATAGACTTATAGTTAAAAATTACAACAGTAAGACATTGACAGCAGAGTTTGAAATACATATATCCACCAGCTTTAATTTGTTTAATAAATGATAATTTATCCAATTTGCTTGTGCATTTGCATATATTATATCACACAGTTCTTGTACAAGTTTAGGTACGGGTCTATACAAGCTTGAATCATGCAATATAACATACAAGTAACGTGGATATATGGGCAATGGTCAAACAAATTGAAGGTGGATACTTTATTCTAAAGTTAGTCAATCATGTACTTTTTTTGCGCAACTTTAATTGTGGTTCAACTTTAAGTACAGGGACAAATGTCAATTTTGTTTTTTTAGATTCTTTTTTATTTCACAAAAATTATTATCTACTTTTTTTTGTTCATTGAAATATTATCCTTAACAAGCGACTATAAATGTACATTTCTATTTATTCATATTTTTATGTATTTTAGAAGTTAGAACCATCTAATTTCTTCAATTTCTGCTAAATTTAAATCGATGATATGCCATCTTGGACTTTAGATCTAAGCTTTTACCTTCTCTTTCCCATTTTCATTTATTAGTTACAACAATCATGCTTTGGAATCTTTAACTTTAGGCCATATAGCATTTTGAATTGGGCTTAGAACATCAAATTCACTGAGTTTGGCTGCATCAAATGAAATAGGGACTGTCAAAAAACCAATGCCTCCTGGTTACAGCTGAGAATTTCAATGTTGAAGCGATTTCCGATATCAATATCAGATGCTATCATCTTTTAACTTTAGGGCATAAAGCATTTTGAAACAGGCTTAGAATATCAAGTTTCACTGAGCTTTGGTCGGTTCCAAGCTGGACAAAACTAACCCGTAAAAGCTGTTTGTGACAAAATAAGGGATGTGAGTAACCGATCTCTAGGCCCCGGTTAGAGCTGAGTGTCAAAGCAATTTCAGATACCAATATAGAAAACCCTCTCTCCCCCCTAGGATAGTCTCTGGATTGTTACATCACTCTCCCAACCCTCAGAAAATTGGATGGGTCACAACAGCTTGCAAGAAAAACATGGTCACATCCAAAAGGACAATATAGTTCTTATAGTTTTAAGCAAAAGCATATACCTGATATCAGAACCAGCCATAGCAAGATAGCTGCCGCTGAAGTCAAATTCCACTGCAAGAGAAGTAGTTGCAACCCATTACTGAATGCAGCACGATGATTTAATAAACATTGGTGTGGGTTTTTGCAATATAAATTCCCTAGAATCTGAAAGTACAAGCAATATGATAACATTTACAGTATGCAAATGTTTGAAATTTTACTGAATTAATTTGTTGCCTGAAATGGCAATGTCCCACATTTATCCACACATATAACTCAAGTCATAGATCATCATTTAACTGACAAAACAGAAAAAGAGACATCGGTTTTTGATGAAAAAGTATGTAGAAAAATAGAAATAGTTATACCAGAATTCGTCGGAGTATCTGGGTCATACGGAGCAAAGGATCTGAAGTTTTTCAGCTTCCGAAGATCCCAAAGCCTAACTCCATCAAGGGCTGCAGTCTGGTCAATCAGGATACATAATTTCAGGAAAAGGCTTGTACAATCCCCATTAACATTTATAATGTTGTTTTAGATCAGAAGCAAATACCGCGAGATAGTAGCCATTTTCAGAAAATGACATTGCTGTGACTATGCCAGAGTGTCCATCAAACTTGGCAACATTTGACTGCAAAAGTACGCATTTTTTCCGTCAAGAATAGGATAGACTTATTGTCTTTAGATAACCATTGAACTTTAAGAAAGTAACTGCCAAGCAAACAATACCTGAGATTTGACATCCCAAATCTTAACAAGGGCTCCAGAGGTGCCGGTTCCAAGGATAAGACCATCTGGATGAAAGGCAGCAGAAGTGTAACCCTCCTCCGCAGAAGCTTCGCCAACCTGCATCCACATATTTATAAATCAATACAACACACACACACACGCACACACAGACTCAACACGCAAGAGATAGAGATATAATGAGGGTCAGAGACCTGTGCCAGGCATGATCCAGAAGCCAAATCATAAAAACACCAGGTATTGTCCATAGAAGCCGTCACGAAATACTTGTTGGTGGCATGGACTGTAACTGCTTGCACCTGGTTGAAAAGCCAATAGGGAGCAAATTAATGACAAAACTTGAAAGCAAGCAATTAATGACAAACTTGTACGACAAAAGCAACAGAGCATTTATCCCTTCTTTAGGGTTGGAAGGCACAGACAAATATAGAAATCTATATACATTAACTAACAAATAATATATAATTGAAACAATAAAAGTATCACTGATCTGCTCATAGTAGCTACTGTAAGTGCCCAAGAAAATTAGGAACTGTTATAGAGAGTATTAAACAGGGCACCAACTCTGGTACTACAACTATTCCTACAAGACGTGGATACAATATAATTTCACAGGCATTCATATTACTTTAACTTTTCTTTTCCAGGTTACTGACATCCATTCCGTGACTGTTATAGTCCAAAATGTTCAATGAATAAAAGAGCAGATAATTACATAAGCACCACCACTTCCAGAACATAATGAAGTTATGGAGCAAATAATTCATCACATTCATAATCTTTTGAAGTATCTGGTGCTCATAAGACAACATGATACTGTGCTGCCACTAAATCAAATGTCAACATCAGGCAAACTGAAATGACCTCCAGAAGTCAAAGCACCTTCAAAGCTCCATAAGGAAATATGGTCTTGGAAAGATCTCCATGATACCAAGAACGAAGAGGAATGCTATTAAAGCTCCGATATGCCAAGAACAAAGAGGAATGCTATTATGGTTAAAGTTGATTTAAGTGTAAGATCAAAGCAGAACTTTACATCTTTAGCTGTCACACACTCTTGACTTGAGGGAAAATGTAGAATTGTAGATAGCTCTGACAAAATTTCTTACCTCATTATCCACTTCAACCAACTAATTATTGTGTTCACATTCTGAGAATGTGTTTTGCAAGCAAATCAAACAAATAATTAAATAGATTATGTTCATAAAAATTTACATAAAGGTCGGTGACATGTCATATGCATGTCATACACACAAAAGACAAAGTATAATAAAGTACATGAATTATTTGTTCCCATAACTAAACTTACCTCGGCAGTGTGATCCTTTAAGACATTTCTACAACTGTAATTCCCATCATCAGCCCCTTGCCAAACACGAACTGTCTGCATTAGAGGAGAGAAGCAAACTTATCATAAATGCTGAGTTTATCATAAGATATTCAAAAAGAAAGGAGGAAAAACTATTTTCTCACAGAGATGTAGATAAGTTAGCAGTCAGTACAACCTGTCCCTTTTGGAAATAAGAAGCAAATCGTCAAATCTAAAGGCAATGGGAAGGTTCAGAGTTCAGACTGGTGGTGATGATATTATTTGCCAAAGGAACATTAAGTCAGGCAGCTTATTACATGTTTGTATTGCGAAAGACAAACTTCATGGAAATTATCTTAGTTCAAGAATTAAAGATGTCTAAAAAAAATTTCGTAGTGATTTAGTTTTAAAGATGAGAGAGATAAACAAATAAACAATGCTGAAATAATCTAGCGAATAAAAGAACAATGTATATGAGTTTAGGGAGATTTATAATTTTAAGACTAGCAAATAGAAATTTGCAAGACAAAAACTATAGGGATCAAAAGCTACAGGGATCTAGAATTTCTTATGACATACGAGGAAATCAAAATTTCAGTTTTCAAATATGAGAAAACTTCTTATCGTCAAAAACTTAACATTGCCTAAGTGAAAAACGTAGAAATATGATTACTAAAAGCAACTAATCTACCCAACTAAGATAACTAGCTTAACTGTCTTCCATAAATAATATATGTTCAACCTACTGACAAGCAGATGTAACATTTGATATCAGCTAACCTTATCTGCTGATCCAGTTACAAACAGATCATCAAGAGGCACAAATTTCACGCTGGTGACCTGAAAAAAGCAATGAAGCTTCATTACCAAGAAGAACCAATTCTGAGAATATAGGTAGAATAAACAATTAAAAATTTACAAAAGGTGTTTCACTTATGATACAAACCTAGCATTGTGAGCTATCAACTAATTTTGCAAACTTCCAGATTATTAAGGCAGCCTTTTAGGCCTCCTCAATTCAATTAACTCCAAAAGTTAACAACTGGACATGTTTGTTGCATTTCTGTTCATTTTCCAATTATAAAATTGCCGATAGGAAATTCCTAAAAAGATAGGAAAAGCAAGCAGAAAGGACAAAAGATGGAAGAGAAGACCTTCTTAGAGTGGCCAGTCAGCGTGCATAAAATCTGACCAGATGCCCTATCAAAGAGCACTGCATTTGCATCCACCCCACCAGTTGCAATGATGTCCTGTCAGATCATTGCGAAAACACATAATAAGCTACACAAACCTATAAAGCAGTATGGTGTAATAAAGGGATTCAAGTACGCATAATAAGCATGTGTGAACGTTCTAGCACAAGAATGTCTTAATCCTCAAGCTGAAAATGAAGCTAATTGTCTTCTATAGCAGAAAGTTAACTCATAGCAGAGGTCATTCCAAATTGCATGGCACATTTTGCATATTGCATGACATTTTTTAGCATCACATATCAGAAGCACTATAAATTCAAAATAAATTAGATAAAAAAAACAAAAACAAAAATAGTGATAAGTTCTTGTGATTCTAGCTTCAAATCTTTATAGAATTCATGGAAACAATTAGCACATATTGTTGTGCTGTGTTCCCTTCACATAGGAAGTTCATGGTATACCATTTTGACAAGTTTGAAACAGAGATATTGTTTAGCATTTAGGTTAATTTAAGATATAATTCACAAAATGTAGAAGTAACTACAAAATGATATCGGTTCTTAAATGAATATCCAAATCACCTGTGTATATAAAAAATATATCAACTGCAATGCCCATGTCCCACTCTCATCACATCTGATAGACCAAGCCAGCTAAATGAGGACAGAAGTTGCAAATTTGACCTGACTCGTATATACAAGGTTTGGGATCAGGTTGGTCCAATTGGGGCATGCCATAAACACGTTAGGTTTCAGGCCTTTGACCGGTTATGGGTTGATCGTTAAACATCCTTGTAGGCTGTCTAAAAATTACTGTAGATAGCTGATCCCCATCAAACACCGATGATGAAATCTATAATTTGATGGCTTCCAGAAGACTACAATTTAAAAACTTTCACGTAAGATCGATAAATGTTACAATCTGACAACCTTCACAATAATCGATGAAAGTTCTGATCAATAATCTTCACAATCAACAGCGAGAGTTATAACCTGACGACTCTGACATATCAAAGAGCTAAAACAAATATTACAAAACGACGATCTTTACAACGCTCTAACAAAAAAAGACTACAAATTGACAGTCTCCTCAAATCAAAACGTGAAAGTCCTCCCCGCGTTTCAGCATCAAGACGCGGAGGTCTTCCCCGCGCACCAGCATCAAGACGCACCACGTTCACAGCCGCTGACGCATCAAGACGCGGAGGTCTTCCCCGCGCACCAGCATCAAGACGCACCACGTTCACAGCCGCTGACGCAGAACAAACGCAGTGCCAATTCAACTACGGACGCAGCTCCTTATCAGCCATCGCTGACGTAGCTCAAGCCTACGGACGCAGCTCAAACCTGGCCGCAAATGCAGCTTAGATCCAGCTGCCAATGCAGCTTCCAACAAGCTGCCAATGCAGCTTCTAAATTGCTGCCAAACGCAGCTTCCAAGCTGTCAATGCAGCTTCCAACAAGCTGCCAAACGCACTTCCAGACGCTACAAACAAGCTTCCAGACGCTACAAACAAGCTTCCAGACGCTGCGTTCGAACGTAGAATTCATGTCAGAACGCGGATTTTGCGTTTGACTCGTTAAAACACGAGCTGAACGGTTCCAAAACCGTTTCCCACGATCTGAGGGGATCACGACTCCACTCATGAGTGATTTATGGGGCGGTTACATCACATTAGCCTCACAAAAGAGCGATTTTAGGGACGGTTACACCCCCTAATCGCTTATAAATAACTGAAAGATCAGCTTAGTTCGGATCTTCGGGAAATCTTTTGGATCTTTGAAAAAGGAGGATCTTTTGGATCTTTGAGCATTTTCGGATCTAGATATCAGCAAAGAGCTTGGAAGCTTTCTACAACAACAGAAAATCTTTTAGGATTTGCTACTTGGCTATTAACCGATTTACGGTTCAAACAACTCTTTGCATAGAGTTTTGAACTCGTTCTGAGTTCTTAGAACTCGTTCTGAATTCTTAGAACTCGTTCTGAGTTCTTAAAACTCATTAAGAGTTCCTTCAATCGTTCCAGTAAAGTGAGACGTACGAATCGTCAACGGAAAGCAAACTCGATGCGAGCATTCGAGGGAAGCATTTCATCGCTACCGTGAAGAACCCAGAATTAAACAAATAGGATAATTCATATCAATTCTCTTCTCTTTTGTAATCAGGAATTCAAATTGTAATCGAGATTGAGAGAGAGTTATAAACATTCTTTTTCTAAGCAGTTAGAGGGAATAAAATCAAATTCAATTCTCAATTGTCTTATTGCAAATTTTCCACCAAACAATCTTTTCTTTCATTGTTTAATTAAAGGTTCTGCATCAACCCTAATTATGGCTGAGCTGTTCTTTAAACAGCCCTTATCAAAAGTGCCTAAGTAGTTGGATCAAATTTTTTATGGGCCTTCAACCTGATCAGGCCTGGTGCATTGCCAACTATAGACATGGATATATGAGCCATTCAAATAAAAGTATACTAGTCTTTTGCAACTGGGGGAAACACACCTCTTGACTGAAAACTGGTTGCATTTCCTTATAATGGAGTGGATTTAGACGCAGGGATTTATCAAGACACACTGAGATGAAGCATGTTAAAAATCCAATTTGACAGTGCATTAAAAAAAAGTACCTTAGAAGGATGGATGTCCGAAGATAAAATGCCAGGCTTGTTAGTCTTGTGAAGAGGATGACTAGAAATTTGGGTGTATCTCTCCAGTGCATCAATTGGTGCCAATGTTGGAGGTATCTAGCAACAGAAAATAAAAACACAAGAGATCAGAACATTTTAAGGCCTGAATAAAAGCACAGGATGCAAATTAAAATTCTAAACAGGGATGAGCATCATTGTGGTGTAGTTTAAACATGGGTCGGCATGTAAAAAGGAAGTATCCAAACGTAAAGAACAACTAGCATAAAAGTAAGCTGCAAAATACTTGATAAAGAGAGAAAACACCTGCCGCCTTTTCCGCTGTCCTGAAAGCAAAGAATTGCACTCTGTAAGCTCAGCAATTGTGGCTGGGTTAATACCAGGACGAATTTTCTTTCCATCAGGGCCAAGCTCATCCTCTGCAGCTGGAAGTATGGCCAATCAAATTATTCAGACAAACACTCCAGTCTTATTTTACGATAAATATATGAACAAATTTCAATTATAGAAACCTCTTTTTCCGTTGTTAGCAACAGAGTTTGCGTTAGCAGAAGCTGTTGACAGGGGAATTTGTCTTTCCGCCTGGACCAATAGCGTTCTTGCCTCATCCCTTTCCTTCTTTAATCTAGCTATAACACGACATGCGGCATCATGCTGACAAATCAAACCAAATACTTCAGCAGTAAACAAACCTCAGATTATTGTGAAAGCATCCCCTACTACAATATAAGATGAACCAAAGCCAGACATAATAGATAAGCCAGCAGAGACATCAATCCAAAACTCAATCATGCCCAAATAGAAAAATCTCCAACTACTTAAAATGGCTAAAACTAAGAAAGATCCTACATTCCTACTATAAGTCAATTGATAGGCACCAACATGAACCATGGCTTCAACTTAAATATACCTAATAACCTCGTATATAACTAGCACAAAGAGATAAGTACTTGATTTTAATTACAGGCAGAAGCTTATGGTGATGAAGGATAGCATTGTATCATTGACAATAAACTTTCTTGTCTGTAAAAGTAAGGATCCTACGTGTGAACCAGTTTTGTAAACAAATGATATAGAACTACTAGCATAGAGTAATGACTAATGAGCTATTCTAAAAGTTTTAAAAGGTTTTGGTCCTCTACCAAGTCTTCTAGCAATTTTTTCTAGAAAACTGATCCAAGAATGATTTAGAACCATGAATTTATGGAGCTAAGATTCATCCAATAACTCCACACATGTCATATATTTGAATACTTCAACATCTGGTCCCAATCCTAGGCAAAGGAGGGTTCTCCTTGGTAGTCACAACAAGCATATAAATTTATTAAAACTCTTTGAATGTGTCCTTATAAAATAAGTGCTGAAAGGAGCCTCATATAAGATATCATAAATGCTGCCAATTTCGCACAGAAGCCCTACCTTTCATTTTGGCCTCACACAATTTAATAATCAGGTTAAGCAAAAGCTCATGTAGCTTGTTGGTTTTTTATTTTGATTTTTATTACCAGAATCATGCATTTTGAAGGGAATTTGCAATACAGTAGATCCATTGTCAAAATCCTTTAATACTTATTAACTTGGGGAAAATGTGTACAGGCCCCAAAAGCAAAAACTTCATGTGACGAGGCCCCTCATAGTTTTCCCCATGTGAATCAGCCCCTTGATGTGTGATACTTTATACTGTAGCAATTTTTATCAATTATTACATGCCAGCAAAGCTAAAATCCCCAAATTATCCTCTCTCCTCAATCTCTCAGACCCAGCAATCATATCATCTTTCTCTCTCTCTCTAAAACTAAGAGCTTTCTCAAGCTCGTCAACCTGTCCCTCGCCCTCCTCGCCGTTGCCGCCTCCGCTCAGGCCCCCAATGCTCCCCTCGAGTTCGCCGTCTCTCTCTCCTCTCTCTAAAACTAAGAGCTTTCTCAAGCTCATCACCCTGGCCCTCGCCCTCCTCGCCATTGCCGCCTCCGCTCAGGCCCCCAATGCTCCCCTCGAGTTCGCCGCCGCCTCCCCTCCCCTCCTCCACCCGTCCTCGTCGTCGTAGATCGTCGCCGCTCCCCCGCCGTAGATCGCCGTCGTCGAGACGCACAGAGCATTAATCCATTAGCTAGAAGAAGAAGAAAAAAAATGTTTGACCAGCTACAAATAAATGAACGATTTAATTTTAAAAAATAGTCAAAAGTTATCCCCATTTTTCCACTTTCACGAGACATCCACGCCTTTTTGGAGGAAGCTGGATTTGCAATAAACCTAATGTGCGCAGTCTTTTTGTATTTTAATTTCGAACAAAATTTTAAAATAGACCATTTTTAAAAATTAATTAGCAAAATAGGCTGAAAAAATATTTATTTACCAAAAATCGTTGTAAGCTGGGACGGTAGTTATAAGTCGTCGTTATAAATGAGGATACAGTCATGTTTTTATAAATCGTTGTTAATTATATTTGATAATAGTTATACCTAATGATATGTTATTTCTAGATGCTATCGTGGTAGTTCTAGTAGCCCTCGAGTTAGTTCTAGCTTCTATTACCCTAGTTCTAGCTTGTATACAGCCAGTTCTAGCCCACACCTTGCTAGTTCTAAACCAAGCCCGTGTTTTTTACAAACAAACTTGTTAATTCTAACTTCTACGTTAGTTCTAGCTTCTATTATCCTAGTTCTAGCTTGTATACAGCCAGTTCTAGCCCACACATTGCTAGTTCTAAACCCAATAAGGGTTTTTTTAATTCTTGCTTCTACGTTAGTTCTAGCATCTATTACCCTAATTCTTGCTTCTACGTAAGTTCTAAATTCTATTATCCTAGTTCTAGCTTGTATACAGCATGATTCTTTACATGCACACTTGTTAATTCTAGTTCTAAACCCAGCCCATGTTCTAGAACTGGCTGTATACAAGCTAGAACTAGGGTAATAGAAGCTAGAACTAACGTAAAAACTAGAATTAACAAGTGTGCATGTAAAAAACCCTTGTTGGGTTTAGAACTAGCAAGGTGTGGGCTAGAACTGGCTGTATACAAACTAGAACTAGGATAATAAAAGCTAGAACTAACGTAGAAGCAAGAATTAACAAGTGTGCATGTAAAAAACCCTTGTTGGGTTTAGAATTAACAAGGTGTGGGCTAGAACTGGCTGTATACAAGCTAGAACTAGGGTAATAGAAGCTAGAACTAACGTAGAAGCTAGAATTAACAAGTGTGCATGTAAAGAACCCTTATTGGGTTTAGAACTAGCAAGGTATGGGCTAGAACTGGCTGTATACAAGCTAGAACTATGGTAATAGAAGCTAGAACTAACGTTAAAGCAAGAATTAACAAGTGTGCATGTAAAGAACCCTTATTGGGTTTAGAACTAGCAATGTGTGGGCTAGAACTGGCTGTATATAATCTAGAACTAGGGTAATAGAAGCTAGAACTAATGTAGAAGTAAGAATTAATAAGTATGCATGTAGAAAAACTCTTGCTGGGTTTAGAACTAGCAAGGTGTGGGCTAGAACTGACTGTATACAAGCTAGAATTGGGGTAATAGAAGCTAGAACTAACGTAGAAGCAAGAATTAACAAGTGTGCATGTAAAAAATCCTTGTTGGGTTTAGAACTAGCAATGTGTGGGCTAGAACTGGCTGTTTACAAGCTAGAACTAGGGTAATAAAAACTAGAACTAACGTAGAAGCAAGAATTAACAAGTATGCATATAAAAAATCCTTGTTAGGTTTAGCACTAGCAATTTGTGGGCTAGAACTGGCTGTATACAAGCTAGTACTAGGGTAATAGAAGCTAGAACTAACGTAGAAGCAAGAATTAACAAGTGTGCATGTAAAAAACCCTTGTTAGGTTTAGAACTAGCAAGGTGTGGGTTAGAACTGACTGTATACAAGCTAGAACTAAGGTAATAGAAGCTAGAACTAACGTAGAAGCTAGAATTAACAAGTTTGCTTGTAAAAAACACGGGCTTGATTTAGAACTAGCAAGGTGTGGGCTAGAACTGGCTGTATACAAGCTAGAACTAGGGTAATAGAAGCTAGAACTAACTCGAGGGCTACTAGAACTACCACGATAGCATCTAGAAATAACATATCATTAGGTATAACTATTATCAAATATAATTAACAACGATTTATAAAAACATGACTGTATCCTCATTTATAACAACGATTTATAACTATCGTCCCAGCTTACAACGATTTTTGGTAATTAAATATTTTTTCAGCCTATTTTGCTAATTAAGTTTTAAAAATGGTGTATTTTAAAAATTTATTCGAAATTAAAATACAAAAAGACTGCGCACATTAGGTTTATTACAAATTCAGCTTCCTCCAAAAAGACGTGGATGTCTCGTGAAAGTGGAAAAATAGGGACAACTTTTGACTATTTTTTAAAATTAAATCGTTCATTTATTTGTAGCTGGTCAAACATTTTTTCTTTTTTTTCTTCTTTTAGCTAATGGATTAATGCTATGTGCGTCTCGACGGCGGCGATCTACGACGCGGGAGCGGCGGCGATCTACGGCGACGAGGACTGGTGGAGGAGGGAAGGGGAGGCGGCGGCGAACTCGATGAGAACCTTAGGGGCCTGAGCGGAGGCGGCAACGGCGAAGAGGGCGAGGGCCAGGTTGACGAGCTTGAGAAAGCTCTTAGTTTTAGAGGAGAGATAGAGAGATGAGAGAGAGAGAGAGAGAGATGGGAGAGAAAGATGATATGATTGCTGGGTCTGAGAGATTGAGGAGAGAGGATAAGGATAATTTGGGGATTTTGAGGAGAGAGGATAAGGATAATTTGGGGATTTTAGCTTAGCTGGCATGTAATAATTGATAAAAAAAAGGCTGCAGTACAAAGTGTCACACATCAAGGGGCTGATTCACATGGGGAAAACTATGAGGGGCCTCGTCACATGAAGTTTCTGTTTTTGGGGCCTGTACACATTTTTCCCTATTAACTTTAAGGTCAGTTTGGGCGAAGGCAGTATGACTGCTTTACCAATAGTTGAGATTCAATCTGGAGACGTTTCAGCTTATATTCCTACTAATGTAATTTCTTTTACAAATGGACAAATATTCCTAATCCGCCGATTTATTCAATGCGAGAATTCGACCTGCTATTAATGTAGGTATTTTTTGTTTGTAGGATCCGCAGCTCAAATTAAAGCCATGAAACAAGTAGCCGGTAAGTTAAAATTGGAACAAGCTCAATTCGCAGAGTTAAGGCCTTTGCACAATTTGCTTTTGATCTCGATAAAGCTACTAAATTCGCAATTTTACAATTTTTTAACCCATGTCAATATACATAATCATGCAAGAAATGTAAGAATCTTCTGCATAGAATCTGCCTTGTTTATAACCATGTGTCCCATCTTATTTATAAGTGGGGAGCCAGAACCAACCTAGAAGGTGAGCACACCAGGCAATTTGTGTTCATAGTGGAGCTATTCTCAATTGAATCTATAGACATATGGCCACTAATTTTGGGATCATTAAAGCAAATCAGAGTATGTAGATTAACATTAGTACCTGATACAAGGCATGGCTGAGCTCCTGCCTTGCTGTATGCAACTGTTGTTCCAAAGCAAAATTGGATAGCATCAAAGCATCCCACTCCTGTCAACCAAAAGGCAAGAAGAGAAAAATAACTGTCAGGCCCACAAAAGAAGACAGAGGTATATCGATGATTACTAGCATTAACAGGAGGAAAAATCCACGAACAAAGAGGTATGAAAATAGGAAATCAAGATTTATGTTTATATAGTAACAATAGAAGTTATAGAGCTTATATGCCTTGTTATGATGATGAACTGACTAAGGTTCGGTTCAAGCTAATGTTATGTAAAACATATATAATATCTTTCAAGTTTTCATGAAAGCATAGTGACTGATCTTTTTTCATTGAGATGAGCGTTTTTCTTTGTGGCTTTGTTAAAGCTTCTAAGACAGCATAGTGACTGATCTTTTTTCATTGAGATGAGCGTTTTTCTTTGTGGCTTTGTTAAAGCTTCTAAGACATGGAAGCCTGCCTGATTTACCTTCTAGAATGAGCGTTTTTCTTTGTGGCTTTGTTAAAGCTTCTAAGACATGGAAGCCTGCCTGATTTACCTTCTAGAGACAATATTTCCCACTAAATTCCTACCGTCCTCCTTTTGTGCAGGGTATAATACTAGTGGAAGTTTGCTTGAATCTTGAACAATAACAAAGAACTGTTAACTTACTTTAACAAAATGTTCCCAAAAATTAGGTAAACCCCATTTTATACACCAAAATACTTAGCTCAGTACTTATTTTTCATTGTTCATGCTACCACTGTCTTTATGGGTCATATCAAAACACGTACCACAGAGAATAGGCATCCATGCATGCACACCATTTCACAATTTTAAAATCCTTCAATATGATCTTGGTTCTCTCAAGCTATTCACCATCCCTAACAAGCACACATGAACGGTTGCACACATAAACTAGCAAATCCGAACAATTGAAGAAATATGGGGCTCATTGGAAGAGTTGATGCAGCATTGATGCTACCATTCCAAATCCCTAGTGTTTCATAATGGGAACATGCCATCCAGATGTAAACTGAAAATCACATAAGGTACTATTCCTGGCAGGACACAAAATAAATAAAATACTTTTGACATCCAACAACTCATATACTTCAGTAAGTTCATAATTTAAACACCAAACCATCCACACTGTAGCCAACTCATGTATCAAGATATCTAAAAACATCAGGAACAGTTAGCACAACCAAAAGCAAAGTTGTCAAGATTGGTTGCAACATATTACAGCACATGCACCTAGTTTCACATGGTTTCCTTTATATGTAGACATATGTAACCACATATAGGCATTTCTAGAACACCAAAAGTGTTCAAACAAGTGAAGCAAGACCGACAAGAACTGACTTGATCAGGTAACTAGCTTGCATCAAAACCCAAATGCTAATGTCCCAAATAGTGTAAGAATCAATAATGATGTCCCAATAAAATTACCATGCACAAAAAAATATGTCCAGTCACAAAATATACGTTGGTGTCACATCACACACATGTTAGCACATCATGGAAGTGTGCCAAGAAAGACTTCAAAAGGAAACCCTGAAACCTGTATTCTGTGCAATTAATTCTCAATTCAAAACTCCCATGACATCACAACTGTAATTCATATACATAGTCCAATCATGCCAATGTCGAAATTAAATTTCAATATGAGCAGGCATCATATGAATCAAGTCACCCTCAATTATTCATTAGATAAATCATATCTGAATCCTTTCCAATAGGTCCTAATGAAAAGTCGGGGATGTACCAAGCATAAACGTTTGACTTAGGCTTAACTGGGTCAAATTGGCTCAGTCCAAGCTCACAAGTCTAAATTTTCAGCAACAATAGCTATTTCAGGAAATATAATATGCATAAACTGTAAAAACATATGAAGTTGTTTACAGCAACATAGCCTTTGTGTAAAATTTGAGATTGTCTACATGAATTCTTTCCTTCATTCAACTTCATTAAGGACCAACTACTCAGTCCAATTAGAAGCTACAAAAGTTTGAAACAAATGAAGGTTTGTTGAGCACTCTAACTCACATAAACTTTCATGTGAGTTCACATAATACTTGTTTCACACACAAATCTCACACAGATGGTCCACTTCTAACAGAAATTTAACCCCAACTCTCCAGTTGGCTACTTTTAATTGACAACAGTATAACACTAAGAATTTCAGATAACAGGAAAATTTCATGATACAAACCAATGAAAGGGATAGCACTTACATTCTGAAACATTCCAAGCAAGCCAGGGATACTTGCAGCCTGTAAGGGTCTAGGCTTGACCACCTGCACAAGGATACATAACACAAAATTATGAGATAAGGTAAAAAAAAAAGTATGACTAAACAAGAATGGTAAAGAAAAAAAGAGATAAGATTAGAATAGGCAATGATGTGCTGCAAATCATAGTCTCAACTGATATAAAACCACAGTTATTTCCACCATGCTGTCATATAGTACTTCATACTCATTCTTCTTCACGTTGTAAACTCCAGCCAATTTTTCACCAATCATCTATTAACTCGATTATATATGATAATAATTGCAGGATTGCGCTCCAAAGAAATTTAAAAGCTCAGTCCAGCAGAAACCCAAAGCAAGTCCAACAATCATGACACACGTAGGTATTTCATTTTCGCGACACAGTTTAGGTTCAGTCTCTACATGATCCCATCCCAGATAAACATAATGCTCTATCAGTTTTAAACCAGATTGTTTTTACTTGCTAGGAAGTTCATCATGGATATGATATATGCACACACATGGGGCTACCATTGAAGAACTTTTCCTATGGCCCTAACATGGCATCATCTGGACTCAAGGCGGACTGTTTTTAATTGTTAAGATGTTTCATCATGGACATGATACACACACACACACATGGGGTTGCGATTGAAGAATTTTTTCCTATGGCCCTAACATGGTATCATCTTGACTCAAGGCGGGCTAGTGAAAGTTAGAAGGGAGGTTTTTCCCTCACTTGATTACCCTACTCCACCTCCCTTCTGTCTATATATCTCCCCAAACATGCATCACCTTCCCGAATCTCCCAACGAATTCATAACCCCAAATCTCCTGGGCATCCACCACCTCATTGATAGCCTGATTATAGGCACAAACTCATCCAATAATCTCCATGTACCAGATTCTACTTCCCATCATCCGTTCATCCTAGCATCTCAGTGTGGTGCTTCTATTATTTTGTGCTATGTTTTTCGTCTTCTTATATAGTTGCTCCAGCACCCCTCTATTTGTATTCTACTTCCAATATTTTCACCAACATTACACATTTTCCTATATAATAATTGCATTGACTTTGAATCTTCATTTCATATGCAAAGTCCTTAACATTTTATTCCTTTCCCAGTAAACCCATCTACTTGCCATGCCTATGATCAAAATCCCACCAGTTCATGAATCTTTCGACATAAGCGCACCAATTAATCAAGCATAATGACTACAGAACGAATTTGCTTTAGGATTTTTCTCAAATGTTATGTGAAGGTTAACAGATAAATAAATTAAAACTCAAGAGGGAAGCCAAAAAAAAAAACCTTGTTGGTCTTCACCGGCATAATGTCGTCCATTGTGAGGTCCTCCTTAGTAACAGGGCATTTCCCATACTCCTACCACCAAAAAAAAAACGACAAAAAAGATTAGAAATTTAGGGTTTTGATTTAACTTCAAAACCCTAAATTTTATTTAAAAGAACTCACTGCAATGTGGCGTTCGATTAACCGCCGCTCGAAGAGAAGCCCTGATTTCTTCGAGAGCGCCGGCTCTTCCGGCACTTCGCCGGAGACTGTAAAGAGACGAGAGAGAGAGAGAGAGAGAGAGGGCAAAAAAAAAAAAAAAACAAAGGAGGGAGAGAAGAGAAATTAGGGTTTCGAGATAGAGGAGGAAGCTTACTGGAGCAAATCATGGCGAACGGAAGCTAGGAATTCTGCTTTTTCGTCGTGGGATCTGAGATGGTGGAGAGCTGGAATTAGGGTTTTGGGGGGTTTATTGAAAATATGTGACTTTTATTTATCTTCGGGTTTGACTGCGGCTATAAATAGGTATATGTAGTTGTTTTTCTCAATTTGTATTCTGCGTAAGTTATAAGCTACTTGAAAAATTAAGAAACACAAAATTAATTAAAGGGGGGTTTTAGATATTAGTCTCTCACATCTTCATATTTTGATATCAGTCCCTCAAATTGCATTAATATATTGATATTGGTTCCTCCGTTAGGTTTTCTGTTGAAAATTCTAAACTATATTTGGGTTTTTTACTGAAACACCCATGCATCTCTGACTCTCTCTCTATCCCCTACAGTTTCGATGCAGGGCCGGTTCTGAGATTTTAGGGGCCCTGTGCGAAAAGTAAACACATGACACTTCTCTATATACAAAATATCAATAAATTCCAATTTGCTCTTTTGGAGGAGAGAGTGGCGGCCAGATCTGATTTGTGATTCTGTGAAGATTGGTTGCTTCTTTTGAAGGAGGGATTTTGACGTTGAGATTAAGGGGTTTGTAAAATAGACGGTCCATATTTGCTCTCCCTATATATATATAAATAAAAATTAAAAAATTTTGGTGCCCCCAAATTTTGGGGCCCTGTGCGGGCGAACAGGTTGAACTCCCCAAGAGCCGGCCCTGTTTCGATGGAATCCTGCATCCCTCTCTCTTTTTGAGTTTGGATGGAAGAATCATGCCTGAACCTAAACCTGACCATCAGGGTCACCGCTCGTCAAGAACTTTAAGTGTGGTTGTAATGTTAGCTGACCAATGAGAAACTTTATACGTTCAATTAGTGCCTCCTTCAATTCCACAGATGGTCAATTAATGCCCACTGTTAGAGAAAATGGAATATTCCATAACATTTATGACTCCAACTAGCCACAGAGACTAATATCAACACACTAATGATAGTTGAGGGACTACTATCAAAATATGAAGTTTGAAGGTGAAGAAGTGGCGAGAGAAGTTCAGGAAATTAGCAGGAATTAGCCAGGCAGACTGGCGGTCGACCGCGAACATGCACAGGACAGCACGAGGCTCTGGAGCTGAAGGCGGTCGACCGTGACGGTTGACCGCGTGGACCCTGTAGGCGATTTAACTCTCGGGAATTGGTTCGGTCGACCGCTGCGGTCGACTGTGGGTTTCCTGTAATCGATTTATTCTCTGTCGGGGGTTTTCGGTCAACCGTCACGATCGACCGCGATACCTGCACGGTCGACCGCCACGGTCGACCGCATAGCGGGTTTGCAGTTGGGTCAGTTATTTGACCCGGTTCATTTTGGAGCTGATATATAACTCTAATCATGATTAGTTAGGGTTAAGTAAGGACGTTTTTGAGCAGTCTTTGTGAAAGGATTGCTGCATCTAATTGTGAGAGATTTATGAGAGATCTAGAGCTTTGTTTTAGGGTTTGGTCGGTGAGATTTGTAACTCTATTTGTATTCTCTTGATTTCTAATAGTAAGAACTCCCCCCTCCTTGCCTTGTGAACGTAGGCAACTTGCCGAGCCACGTTAAACTCGTTGACTTGTTGTGGTATTGTGTTTGGCTTATTAGTTGTGATTTATCTCTTGTTCTTGTTCGTGTCGCTTCGAGGCTTCCACCGCGCACAACAATTGGTATCAGAGCTTCAGGCTTGTTCGAAGGATTCAGTGAAGAATTCCTATCTGAAAAGTTAGATCAACAACATGGGAGAAGCAAGCACATCAGGTTCGTCTCTTACGAAGGTGATACAAAGTCTGAGCATTAATAACACGAAGATTGATGTTCCGAAGTTCGACGACAAGATTAATTTCGGATTGTGGAGGTGTCAGGTAATGGACGCCTTGGATGCATAGAATTTGGAGGAAACTCTTGAGTTACAAAAGAAACCCGAAGACATAGAGGATAAGCTTTAGAAGAAGATGAATAGTAGGGCTTGTGGAATTATTCGGTCATGCTTGACGCTAGATCTTATTTATGATGTTATGAACGAGACGTCGGCGAAAAGAATGTGGGAAACACTCAATGAGAATTATCTTACTAAGAGCATTGAGAATCGGTTTTACTTGAAGAAGAGATTTTACCAGTTCAAGATGAAGAGGAAAGTTTCCATCAGGGAGCATGTCAACAATTTCACGAAGCTACTTTCAGATATGACCAATATGGATATCATGGTTGAGGATGAAGATAAGGTGATGTTACTTTTGTGTTCGTTGCCGGAAGATGATTATGGTATGTTCGTTCTAACTATGATCAATGGAAGAACTACTGTTAGCTACAAGGAGGTGGCCTCAATTTTGGTGAATTATAAGTTGAGGAAGAATGATGGTGAACCCTCCAAGAAGGCATCGGGAGATGCATTAGTTGTTCGAGGCCAAGATCCAAACCGCCGCCAGTTCAACAGCTCAAAGTCAAAGAATATGAGTGCCTATAAGAGTGTTGGTAGAAACCAATATCGGTATTGTAAAGAAGAAGGATATTGGAAGATTGACTGTCCAAAGTAGAAGGAAAAAGCCGAGAAGAATAAGGAAAAAGTTGTACAAGCTTCAGAAGTGAATGTTGCAAAAGCTATTGATGAGCATTCAGGTTCAGATTCTTCGGGCTATTCGTGCCATGTGTAGGCATCGAAAATTGCCCATATGTCTCCACGAACAGCTCAGTGTTAAAGAACGACGATGAACGTCACTATCCGATCCACAGGAGTTCGATTGTCTCCACGAACAGCTCAGTGTTAAAGAACGACGATGAACGTCACTATCCGATCCACAGGAGTTCGATTGGTGTCGGTGAACGATTGAAGTGAACCGACGAACTACGTGAGCTGACAGAATTTCGGGATAACGAAGGCACGGGCTAATCGAGAGCCCCGCGATGTTACAAAAAGAACAACGCCCTTCGTGTCTCGTTCGTTCTACAGATAATCCAACCATTAGAGCTGATAGAACTCTTCGTCGGACTTCCAACGCACTTCGAATCACTAAAATCCGAGTTTGGACGAAGAATTTACAGCGGAAACGGACAAATGCACCTCAACGGAGCGTCTCGGTTAATGCGAGACACCCCAGGGGTGTCTTAGATTTTCTGAGACACCCCAGGGGTGTCTCGGAATTTCCGAGACACCCCAGGGGTGTCTCGAAATTTCCGAGACACCCCAGGGGTGTCTCGGATTTTCCGAGACACCCCAAGGGTGTCTCGAGTTTTGTGAGACACCCCAAGGGTGTCCCGGATTTTGAAAGACACCTTTAGCCCGTTTTAACCGCTCCGTTATCCTCTCAAGCCTATAAATATAAGCCTTAGGCCTCATTTTTTCAGATCTGGAATTTTGGAGAAGAGGCGAAGCCCTGCCGGAGTTTGTTTGATAAAGTTGTAAACTTTTTTTATTTTCATTGTGTAAGGAGATCTTATAAAAAGATCAACTTTTTATTTTATTCGAGTTTATTGTAACGACTAAAGTTGTAATAGATTCGATAACAATGAAAACATCAACTTTCACCGTAAACAAACTGGCGACCACAGTGGGAGCCAACAGCTTCGCTGCCGGAGCTGTCGTGCCGCAGCCGACGATCAAGATCCCGGTGCTCGAAGAGGTCGAATATGAATTCGACCAGCAAAAGTTCGAGGAGTACGTCTCCTCCTCCTCCTCCTCCTCCAGATCCGCCTCTCCTGGCAAGTGCAAGAGTGCCTCCTCCTCCAGAAAAATCTGCTGGTCTTCAGATCTGAAGATCCAAGAAGACGATCTCTCCGCCGCTGTTGCTGTTGCACCTTGCAATGATCCACCGGCGTTCAATGAAGCCAAATTTGCAGATCTGAACTCCTTCACGATTAAGGAGTTGACTGCTGAAGGCGCGCCAACTCTATCAAAGAGAGCACGTCAAAGGAAACAACAACGCCTCGCGCGCCAATTCGCCAAGGCTTTGGATCAGATGGATGGTCTCCATTACCAAGCAGATCTGGAGCTCAGAAAGCGCCAAGTGGCTAATCTGTCGCCATGACCAGCATCAGAATCCTCCTCTCGATCTCCAATTAACGGATGGGTTCGTGTCCAAAGAACCCGCTCTACTCTCGAGGAGCGAATCCAGAAGCGTCGTACCTTACTTGCGGATGCCGGGACCCTTGTGCGAAAAGCACAAGAAATGCAAAAGGAAGAGGCAGTTAAGAGATCGCCGAGATCCAAACAAGTTTGGGTGCCAAAAGCCAAGTCAGCGCCTAAGGCAAAAGCAGGCGACGTTGCTCTCCGGCCTTCGTCAACTTTAGATCCCGAACCTCCAGTAAAGCCCTACCGCAGCGTGGATTTCCCCAAGTTTAGGATTCCTCTGAAGGATCGTATCGGTGCCCTACCCGAGAATCGAGGAAAAGCGCTTGTTAAGGAAAGCTGGAGATCGTTGAAGGAGCTTCGAGCCAACATCCGGACTGGGGGTCGTACGCGACCTCCTAACAAATTGATTTCTGCAACGGCCCGGTTGGCGGTGCGTGCAGAAAATCAGGAGCCCGTTAAGGTTTCACCCTCACAAAGATGTGATTCCAAACGTGCGACTCTTGCAGACGCCAACAAGACAATGTTTACTCAGAGGAAAACACGTCAGACAGACGAACGCGTTATACCTGAGAATCCATGCGAGCAGCCGATAGGTTACTCCGACCGCAACGTCGATGAGTTGTACTATAAGACTGGGGGTACGAATAAATCTCGAAAGAGAAGTACCCGGAAAGCGGACTCTTACTGTCCGTGTATCAAAATTATCAGGGCAGTATTATCAACGTGTAGCTGCCCCAAGACCGCTCCGCAGAGGGTCTCGATATTCGAGAGGATCTCCGATGGAACGACGAAGCCCAAATCAAGGCGTTTCCACCAAAGAGGATCGGTTGCTCGAGATGATGAATTCCCAGAAGTTACCATCAACATGGTCAACAAGGGAAAATCTCCAATTGTTTCAAGTGGTTCTGACCCTAATTTCTCTCCAGGAAGCAGAGTCAATTCGGGAATAGCTCAGCTTCAGCTAGAAGCCGTCGGATATAACGATTACCATGGGATCCATGAAGGAATCCATTCCGATGACGAACTCT